GTATAGTTAATCGTTGTTGTCTATGCAAGGATGGCGAGGAGTCCGTTAACCACCTCCTGTTGCATTGCCCTGTGGCGATTGACTGTTGGAATCTTATTATTGGGTTGTTTGGCATGTGTTGGGTTATGCCACGATCTACTAAGGAATTGATTCATATTTGGAGAGGTTGTCGAGTGAGAAGAGACGTTCGCGAGTTCTAGAGAATTGTACCACATTGCGTATGGTGGTGCATTTGGAAGGAGAGAAACAGCAGAATGTTTGAAGGAAAATAGTCGCCTACGGAAATGGTCAAACTTTACATTCTTCGTTCTCTCTTCAATTATGTGAAGAGGAGCTTTTGTTCTTCTTCATATGATTTAATTACTTTTCTGGATTCTTTGGGGCCTTAGCTCCGGTTCCACTTTTGTAATTGGGACGCGTTCTCCTTTTGAATGCCTTTTTTAATATTATTTTTTACTTATCAAAAAAAAAAAAAAAAAAAATTATTCAAATATTGCTGGGTGATAATAGTCGAGAATATTTCAAAAACATTTTGGGCCATTTTCTTCTTGAAAAAGGAATTGTTCATCAAAGCTCTTATGTCGACACTCCGCAACAAAATGGTTTGGCTGAAAGAAAAAACAAACACTTATTGGCAGTAGCTCGGACATTGCTTTTTACCAATCAGGTACCTAAATATCTTTGGGGTGAAGCCCTTTTTACTGCTACATACCTCATAAATCGAACGCCTAATAAGGTTTTAAGCTTTGAAACACCTTTTGATGTTTTTCATAAGTTTTATCCAACAAATCGGCTTTCTTCTTCTTTACCACTAAAGATATTTGGTTGTACCGCATTTGTTAATATTCATAGTCATAATCGAGGAAAACTTGAACCCCAAGCAACAAAATGTATGTTTGTTGGTTATGCTCCACACTCAAAAGGGGTATAAATGTTTTGAACCCATTTCCAAAAAAATGTTTGTTACCATGGATGTTACTTTTTTTGAATTACATCCCTATTTCACGCCTCAGCTTCAGGGGGGAACCAAAACAAAGATTCTGCTGTTTTTCATGATTTTTTCCAAACTGAAGACTCGCAAAATGATCCTTCTCCAACTTTGATTATTCAACCTAAAAACCCAAGCTTTATTATACCAGGAGAAAGTGAGTCGAGTTTTTTAGAGACTAAAAAGGCAAGTCTTCCTACAGTGCCATCTCATGATGTTCATGTTCCTATAACGACTAACAAACAAGAAACAGGAAAAAGAAACACAGCGTTGGTACCATTTGACATTGTCTACTCACGACAGAGGACAACTCAAGAGAAAGTGTCTTCCAATCCTTTGCACTGCCTAGAATCCGTAAACCCTCCAGGTAATGTCCTCACCGAGCATTTACCTCATGCTCAGCCCATTTCATCTTCGAGTTCTGAGTCCTCTAGTTCTGAACCCGAGTCTAATTCTAATCCTGAGTTCGATAATTCTGAACTTCCCATTGCTGTCCAGAAGAGTGTGAAGTCTTGCACCCAGTATCCATTGTCCAATTATGTGTCATATGAACATCTCTCACTTGTTTTTCGTGCTTTTACCTCACAATTGTCTTGTATAGAGATTCCTAATACTATGAAGGATGCTCTGAAAGTTCTTGAGTGGAGGGAGGCTGTCTTTGGGTAGATGAAAGCTCTTAAAAAAAATGGCACGCGGAGGGAGTTAGTTGATCTACCAAGAGGAAAGACAACTATAGGATGCAAATGGGTGTTTACAGTCAAGTATAAATCTGATGGCTCTCTAGAACGGTATAAAGCTCGATTGGTTGCCAAGGGATTCACTCAGACCTATGGCATTGATTACTTGGAGACATTCGCCCCGGTCGCAAAGTTAAACTCTGTAAGAGTTCTTTTGTCACTTGTAGCTAATCATGACTGCCTCTGCAACAGTTGGACGTAAAAAATGCATTCCTCAATGGAGACCTGGAGGAAGAAGTGTACACAGATGCACCTCCAGGATTTGGTGAAAAGTTTGGCACAAAGGTGTGTAAACTGAAGAAGTCCTTATATGGGTTGAAACAGTCACCAAGAGCCTGGATTGAGAAATTCACTCAGTTTGTTAAAAGCCAGGGGTATACTCAAGGGCAAGGTGATCATACGATGTTTATAAGATATTCACAGGATGGGAAGATAGCGATACTAATTGTGTATGTTGACAATATAATTCTCACTAGAGATGACGTACTTTAGATGAACCGATTGAAGACTTCCCTATCATCAAATTTTGAAATCAAGGATTTAGGATCTCTGAGGTATTTCCTTGGAATGGAGGTTGCTCGGTCGAAGAAAGGGATTGTTGTCTCCCAACGGATGTATGTCCTTAACCTCGTTAAGGAGACTGGGATGAGCGGTTGTAGGCCAGCAGACACTCCAATTGATCCCAATCAGAAACTTGAAGATGACAAGGAAGGTGGTCAAGTGAATATAACTCGGCATCAAAAGTTGGTGGGAAAGTTAATTTACCTATCACATACACGCCCAATATTGCTTTTGCTGTGAGTTTGGTAAGCCATTTTATGCATTCACCCTACAAGAAACATCTTGAAGTAGTTTATCGGATTCTCAGATACTTGAAAAGTACACCAGGCAAGGGTTTACTCTTCTAGAAGACCACACAGCAGAACATAGAGGCATGGGCAGGCTTAGTTATTGACAGGAGATCCACGTCAGGATACTGTACTTATGTTTGGGAAAATTTGGTCACATGGCAAAGCAAGAAACAGAATGTGGTTGCAAAGAGCAGTGCCGAGGCAAAATATAGGGCTATGGCTAACAGAGTTTGTGAGATACTATGGTTGAAGAGAATTCTTGACGATATTCTCTTGACGAGTTGCGGATGCCGATGAACATGCCAATGAAGTTGTATTGTGACAACAAAGCTGCCATAAGTATTGCAAAAAATCTAGTACAAGATGATCGCATGAAGCATGTGGAGATTGACAAACACTTCATAAACAAGATTGATAGTGGAGCTGTTTGCAAGCCTTTTGTTCCTACTACTCAACAAATAGCCGATATCTTCACCGAAGGACTTTTCAGACCTAGTTTTGAGCTCTTTATAAGCAAGTTGGGCATGATAGATATCTACGCTCCAACTTGAGGGGGAGTGTCGGATTTCTAGGAAATAAATTAGGCAATTCTATTTTTGCAAATAAAATCTGAAATTACTATTTCAGATTTTAGTAGTTTCCGTTTCCTGTTTTCTAGCCTAGAGATTTGCTGATTTTGTGGGCTTTCTGATATGGTGGCCTTCCTCTACTATTTATCTTGTAATCGTCTCTCTTGAAAGATATGAAGACTGATTATTTTTCTTCTTAAAAAACCTTCAAATGCATATTGCTTTTTTCTACAATTAGTGAAACACATTGCACCAGAGTGAGTAAAAATTATTGAAATCAAAAATCAAGAAGAAGAATCATTAGTAACAGAATTTATATAAAAACTCCTATGAAAAGGGAAGTTCTGATTTTCATGGAAGGACACAAATGTCACTCCCATTGAGAGACAGAAATTGATCCTTTCAAAACAAAAGGCAACAAATACATCCTCTAGATGAGGAATGGATTAAATATTTCCAATCACGCACAAAATTAAACAAATAAAGTAAAACTATTTATTTTTAAAAAAAAGTGAATATTCTTCTGCGCTAGAAGTTTAATTGGCCACCACCACAATTGTTACCATCTCTGGCAATAACTACCATCTACAGGTAGCTCACATCATCAACTGATCCCTACTGTCTTCGTCAGCACATCATTCATGACCGATCTCTCTCATTCCAAAAGTTCTACAATATCTTCTTTCTAAAACTCCACAACTCTCTTTTAAGATTCTGCAACGTTTTCCTTATACAAAAGATCTTATGGTTGTAGATATGGAAATGATACGCAGTGGCTTTTTTGTTGTGTTTTAGGGAGAAACTGTAAATCCATAGAGGAGTTAGTATATTGTTTGGGGTTGTTGAGGGTTTAGAGGCCCTATTTGACCATGTATAGCTTTTGAAGGATGCGTTCCCCTTTTGAACGCTCTTTATACAATCTTTACTTATCAAAAAAAAAAAAAAACAGATAGGCAGTGTGGCTTGTCAAGAAGCAGTCGTGCATTTTGTGGTGGTGATCTTGCAGTTGTCATGATTTGGTATGCTCTGGTTATTAATTTTGATGTGGTTCAATGAGAAAGGCAGAACACTCCAATAAGGATCAAATCCTGGAAGAAATTTGTAACACTTAATAGGAGTGGGATGTTTAATAAAGAGTGTATCTGTGTGGTTTTCTGTAAGATTAATCAAGCAATGATTTGAGATAATTGTATATAGAGAAGGTCGGGAGTAAAAAGAGCAGTGGAACACAGAAAGCGCAATGAATTGTAGAAAGAGAGAGAGAGAGATGGCAGCAGCTGCAGCTACTGTGGTGGCAGAGGTGAGAGAGCAGTTTGGGCTTATGGACTGGCACTTTCACTCATGGTGACAAATGAAAAGAGGAGTTTCCTTTTTCTTTTTCAATTCACTCTTATCATTTATCCTTCTTTTTTTTCAGTTGGAAGAGGGGAGGAGGGGAGGTTTACATCCATTCAGATATTCCAGTATACTCGATGAACCAACCTGTACTTATTAGATAAACACTCTGAATACAAGAAATTGTGTATGTTAAGATCAACTGCTTAAAGAGACTGTACATTTGCAAGATCACTTTTCTAGATAGATTTATGGTACCAGCTGCTTTTCATAGCCCTATAGCACATAACAAGCCACCACAAAAAATGTAGTGTGATACTATGCCAGTAGCACTACTAGTTATCGGATATTAAAGGGTATTTGAATCTAAACAAATATGGTAAAATTATGACATAGAGATGTGTATCATACATACTGTTTATTAGAGAGATCTAAAGGAATAACAAGCTGTAAAAAGTGGACTATACCGTGAGAAGACAAAACATCCTACTTCTGGTCGTATAGCCAATCAAAATGATACCTGAAACTTTTGGAGGACTGTTGCATGATCATGTCTGACAGACACCGGCATGAAGGTAGGCGAAACATCAAAAACTGTGTTCTCGCCCTTGTAGTAAGGTATAAGCTCATAAACACCTGTACAAATTTCACATAACAAAAATTGTTTTCAAATAATAAGGAATACATTTGCTAAAACAAATAATAGAAGCGTCTCCCCATGCATTTCAACATAGTGAATAATTTAATACCAACTCAATTTCAAGACATCCACAGTATAGTTAAAACCAAGAAATGACTACAGATGCAAGGCATGGAAAGACATTTTCAACATTAGTTATGGTAAGAAGTTAAACAAAATCGAAAGCGGATTAATTGATTAAGCACATTGTCTCAACAGGCAAAATCCAAAATTTATATGATAGTGCATGATTAATTGTAAATTTAATTTTTTTTTTCTTTATTTCAAGGAAAGTTTACATTTCAAATAATTAAGCAGGCTGAAGCCGTCAACTCTCACTGAAAACTAATATATACACGCATATAATATTTCATACTCAATTAAAGAAGTATATGCTCAGTGTATTGACCTCAACAAACAGACTTCAGACATATTAGAGCAAGTTTTGCTGCGATTTGAGTGTAATCAGAGACAGGTAAAAGCTTCAACTGGAAGTTAAAATTACAGACAACCTCCAGTTCTGAGGTAAAAAATGATGTGCAACGTGTGTATATATCCAAGTGTAGACTAATAAAATTCATATCCCATTTTACAGAACTAGAGATACTAATAAAATTGCACTTTAAAATTAGAATTCCAAATATCAGAGACAGGTGAAAGCTTCAATCTGAAAGTTACAAAAACAGAGAACCTCCAGCTCTTTGAGGCCATCATTAAATATTATCTAGATACAAAAACAGAGAACCTACAGTTCTTTGAGGCTATCATTAAATATTATCTAGACCAAGTGCAGGCTACATACTTGGAGGTTAAAAATATATATATATATATATATCTTTTTTTCATTCCCAAGTGTGATCCTTGTTAGTCGAGGATATTGGATAACCAAAAACTTCTTGTAATAAAAATCCAAAAATAAAAAATAATAATAATAATAAATAAAAATAAAATAAAAAAAGAAGAGAAGATAAAGAGAAAAGGAAAAAAATAAAAAATATTGCATAGGCATGCAAATTGAGTATTACCACAAGGTATTGCTTTAAATGTGAACATTCCATCAGCATCAGACACAGCATGGCAGAGTGCTTTTTTTTGTCCAGGGGAATTACCAGCACCCTGGGGGCAGTCCACCTCAATGATATCATCTGAATATAAATAAATGTGAACTCCCAATATAGGATTTCCCTACCAAAAAGCATAATTAAATAATATATTAGCTCCATTAGTTTAAATATGACACAATCAGATACCAAAAACAAAAATTTTCAGGGCACACAACAAATTCAATTTTTATACATATAAGAGGGGATGATTGTTCCTTTTTGTTAGTTCTTCATTTTTAGGTACAAAAATCTATGCAATATTATAACCACATGGTCCATATCATCAATACAACAAAGCACAATATGTGCAGGAATAAATAAAGCAGTTTGCTCGAAAACAGTAGGGCTGGAAGTAGACAGCAGTAATACTTAATTTCATCCTAAGAATCTGTTCGGCAACCCCTAAGAATCTGTTCGGCAACTGTCTTTGTTGCATGTTTCATGTTGCGGGTGTACTGTAGTGAAGCAATACACCACAAGAAGTTTGCTAATCAGTTGTTGCGATTTGAACAGTACCCAATTTGTTGCTAAAAAGAGGCCCAAATAGAATGTTTCGCACTGTAGCACAAACACTTTAGCAGTGAACAGTACCCAAAGAACACTGTTGCAGGTCTTTTTAAAAAAATAATAATAAGTAAGATTATATAAAAAAAAGCATTCAAAGGGGGGATGCAGCCCACAAAAATAAGCCAGGACCAAAAAGGGGCCCTAAACTCTCAAAAATGTCCAAAAACTCAACAAAAAGAGAACAAATGATAAAGAATATCAATTCCCCAATAGGAGTCTCCTCCCCATCAAAGGATCACCTATTCCTTTCCTTCCTAAGAACACCACCACATGCACAAAGGCGTCACCCTCCAAAAGTCACGAGCTTGGGACCCCACTGTACACCCTCTACGAGCCTCAATCATACTAAGTGGGGACCGAGGCATAACCACTGAACTCCAAACAAAGCCAAAATCAACCGCCTGCTGTCCCTAGCCACAGGGCAATGCAAAAGAAGGAGATCAACCGACTCCTCATTCCTCTTACATGTAACACCAATTCACCACAAGCTGTCTACTCATCCTCAGTGTCCGAAGTCACAATCCTCCCCAGGACAGCAGTCCAAGCAAAGAAGACCACCTTAAGAGGTGCCTTCGTGTGCCAAATGGCTTTCCATGGGAAAGCAAGCCTCAGTCCATCCAGAGGGCCCTAAAGAACGAGCGCACATCAAACCTCCCCTAAGGAGATAACACCCATACTCTAGTATCAGCAACACTACCCACCACCTCCTGGTGATACAACATCTCCAAGAGTCAAAAAACATCATTCACCTTCCAATCCTGAAAATGCCTCAAAAAAAACGCACATCCCATGTCATCCTTGCGCTATCAAGATGATGACAGTTGGCCACCAAGGCACGCCTATCCAAAGCAATCTGGAAAGTCTAAGAAAGGTGCGTGCCAAAGAACAGTCAGCGCACCAGGTGTCCCCCAAAAAACTGATCCCCGTGCCATCCTTCACACTGAATCTGATATGTTTGTATAGTTCATCCCAACTTCAAACACCGACCCCTCCAGGGATCCTGACCTCTAGAGAACACCAGCATCCCCTCTCCTCCCCAAATCTACTAGCAATAACCCTCCTCCATAGTCTCTGTCTCTCCACTCCAAATCTCCATAACCACTTCCCCAAAAGGGCCAAATTGAACTGCTTCAATCTCCGGATCCCCAAGCCACCTGACTGAATTAGCCTGCAAACCTGCTCCCAGCAAACAAGATGGTACTTAAATTCATCCGCCATAGCACCCCTTTGAAGCAGGCCCTTTTTAACTAGCTATTTTGTTACCAAACATGTTTTCATTTTTTTGCATCCAAAAATCTTGTAACAAATTCTACATTACCAAACATGCTTCCAATCACAAATAAAAACACACCCCAACAAAAATGTTGTTTCTGTTTCGGATGAAAACGGAAACGCAAAACAGAAGCAGTTGCCAAACAAGCCCTAAGCAGACAATCTTAAAAACCATGGGAGAATACTTCTCACATGGAATCAAATTTTCTCCAAATCTTAGCAGGTTACACGGTGAGCGCCTTATATGAAATCTTACTTTTCAAAAATAAAATAAAAATCTTAGCAAGTTACACAAACTCATAACATAGTTCATCAATTTAGTAGCAGACTGTAATTTAACAACTAAAACAACTCGCATGAGTTTTATGATAGATTGTTGCATCCAGGTGTTCCATCGAAATTTAATTAGATATAATTAATTTCAAGTTCACAAAAAATTGGAAACATCCAACAACTGATACCCCTTCCCAACATATCGAAATAAATTGGCATTTATATTAGACAGACTAGAAGACTAGAAATGCAATGTAGCACTTCGACTCGTAAAATCTAAAAATTGAAGCTTTTTTAAAGTAGAGGGAACAAACATATACAACTGTCTATTTATGAAAAAAAAAAAAAAAAAAAAAATTATAAAAATTGTTTTACATATCCCGTTACCAAATACCACTTGATCTTCCAGATAGCACTTTTTTTATAGTTCTACATAAATAAAAAATAAAAATAAATAAAAAAAAGTGCTTATTATAAGGTACTGCAATGCCAAACCGGCTCTTACACTACCCTCCCTTAGGTTTGGCAAAACTGCAAATTGATTGAATTTCCACTTCCCGCAGTTTTCTTGACTTATGAAAATACCCTGCTATTATGCATCCATTAAGGCCATTAAATGGAATTTCTCTAAATGCCATTCGGTTTGACTAATGGACAAAAATAACCCTACTTAGACATCTAAAACAACAAGTTTTCCCATGTCATAAGATTCTTAAAGAAAAAAAATATGGCCCCAACTTATATTTACATAAGTCCTAAAAGAACAACGCTGATCCCCTTCATGTTTCTTACAAAGATACTTAGATGATTTATATATCTAATGAGTAAAGTGAGAGAATTTAAGAATTTCTCGTAGATTTAAGCATTTTTTTTTCCTATCAGCAAAATGAACCCAAGGTCTCTATATCCTTCCTTAAATGATCGCACTGCTTCTTCAAATGATTTTCATTATCACTCTTCCTAAATTGATCTTTCCATTAAATAAATACAATGAAAACCTATTCCAAAGCCCCGATAAAATCAGACAACCATATTCATTTTTCTTCTCTCTACTCCTTAGCTCATCCATCGATCACTCCCCCATTCATTCCGGATATCACCTCATCCTCACTGGCACTCATTTGTACTTCTTGCGGGTTTGTCTACTCTTATTCTTGGTATTAATGTATATTTGTCTACTCTTGTTCTCGATATAAATATACATAGATCATTCAATTTCATTTCATTCAAATTTTTCCTTTCCCTGAATTTTTGTTTTATCTTTACTGCTATTTCATCTATCTTTCCTATTTCATCTGTAATGTTTGTGTGTTTGTTTTTGTCTATGTTTTCCATACAGTGGTGTGGCGTTGTGGTGGGAGAACAGTGATGGCATGGCTGGCAATCAAGTGAAGTTGGTGTTGGCCGCCCATGATGGTGTGGTCTCTCAGTGGATGCCTTGAAGCTTTTGAAGAGAGAATGAGAGAGTTAAGAGAGAGATTAAGAGGTGGAGAGGAGGGCAAAACCAAAAGAAACAGAGAGGTGGTTGCTCTCTTGGTTAAGACTTAAGAGCAAAGAAAAAGGGAAGAAAGGGTGCTCTAGGTGACTCAGCAACTCGAATGGTTTCACAGTGTAAGTTTTTTTCTACGTCATACCATATGTGCCTAAGGTCACTACAAAGTACAGATTCTGATCTGCTTCCGTTTGCCACCGCCGAAATTAAACTCCACCACCAACAATACAAACAACACCACCTTTCGCCGCTCCTCCCTACACAACTGCCTCAACCCCTAACACCAACACCACTGACCACCTCCAATAAGCCAGAACTCAAACTCAGGGACAAACTCTACAGCCACCTCCACAACCCTGCCAGTGCCACCTCCACATCAATTTTGTTTCCTCCAAAACTAAAACATTTCTGACTCATGGCCACTTAATAATGAAATTATTTCAAATGTAGAATATATTGAGAAGATGATGGTAAGTATACTGATGGAGAAAGGAGATGGCAGTGGTTTGCTGAGAGAGGGAGGGGCAAAGGGGACACGTTGCAGAAAGGATTGATGGTGGCAATAGTGGAGTGTGTTAAGAGGGTATGTGGTTTCCTCGTTTGTTGTGCTAAATCTCCAGCCCTTATGGGATTTGTTAGAAAAACATGTTTAAAGCGGCAGCGAAAAAAAAAAAATCATCTCAATTGGTCTCAACGAACTAATCATGATTATGATAATAGAGAGAGAAGAATTAATACGACCTTTGAACAACTTGTACATTGTCAACTAGGAGGCAAGTCTTCAACTCTTTCTAAACTTTCCTGAAAAATCCCACAGTTGATTTACGCAGCATGTACAGCAACATCAAATGGCCGGCAGAGAGGGCAGACGACCTCCAAATATATAACCTATTAAATTGATCGTCTTCTGTTTTTTTTCCTAGTTGGTACTCACACACACCTGTCTCTTTTGAGACTTGAACCCTTGACCTCCCTTTGGGAGACAAGAGGCTGATACCGCTAGGCCACTGGCCCATTGGTAAATTGATTGTCTTCAAGTCTACTTTCTTTTGCCGCTGGAATCAGGTCAAAACTTCAAGTAACGAAGAAGTGATGGCCAAAATGGTGAAGCAATACAGAAAAATCCAAACCAGAAGTTTTCCAATCTTCAACCTCCAATTGTTCGTGTAAAACTGATTTGTGTGACTTGTAAACACCGCCAAATTTTCACTCCTATGTCCTTGGATGGAATCCACAAGCAATAGAAGAGTGGGCTTCAAGTCTCTTACGAATTAGGGTCTAGGAAAGAGAGAGGGTGTGTATGTGTGTTGTGTGCAACTATCGCATGTATGTATGTCCAAGGAGTTGGCCACCCCACCCTTATATATGGAGTAGGCAGCCCCTCTCTCCTTGTCCTACTCTAATTCCTCCTTTGACTTTTTCTTGCTATCCAAGTTAGGCTAGGAATGGGATCAAGCTGGGCCTATCCTTGTCTTGGCTCCAATGGGCCTATTTAAACGGCTTGCCAAATCTTGGCCAATTTTGTAAGTTCATTAATTATTTCTAAGTCCACTAAATAAAAACAATTGCACTCAAAGTCATGAATAAAAAGCCAATGTTAGTAAATATTGAAAAATTAAACCCTACATGTTAATTAGTTGTTTGGATAAATAATACCATCTATCCAGTATACTAATCAATCCATAACTTGGCCACTAGCTTTATGAACTGTTTGATCTCATAAATTCTTTTACAGAAAAAAATATATTTAATAAATTAATTAATTAATAAGAAAATTATTTATTAAATATAAATTGCCAGTTTTCTGTGATCAAACAAATCTAACCAAAAAATAAACACCACATGGATCCCATCATGAAAAGTGTGTTCCAAAGCCCATAACAATTAATCACCCATAATACCCAATTGCGTTGACTCACATATCACTCAAGGAAATCAAAGTAACCATGATCATGAACTTGAGTCCATAAATTTCTCAGGATAAAGAGTCTGTTTGCTTCAGTAATTGATAAAGAGAATTACTCGTGAAGGCTCAAGTTATTCTCAACTTATCCTCAATCCAATTCAGTGTGTCCAACACACCAGCACATTAGGTTCTGAGTCTTACACTCAAATGACTGAGATAAGTCACCCAAACAAGTAGAAACCTTTGTGTTACATTCTTTCTAATAGAAAGCCCAATTCTATTAACGAATGTGAACAAGTTTATAACTATGAATACCATGACTTATGTCTCCTATGCCACTTGCATTTGCACATAAACCATCCTATCACAATTAAAGGACACATATATAACTCATGAATTAATCAATACAAGCATTCACCATTATGTATGAAGATAAATAAAAAAGACTTTGCTAAATCTAAATGTCAAAATTAAAATCAATGGCTTTGTAGGGAACACACCAACCCTAAAAGGATCGTGGTTTAAGAAGATGATGGTTAAGAGGGTGACAGGGAGAAATTAGTGGTGATCATGGACTGAAAAAAAAAGGCCAAAGGGATGCGTGATGGGAATGATGGTAGCTATGATGGAGTGGGATATGAAGAAGGCACCAAGTTAGAGAAAGAAAATATATAGCATAACAGAGGAATAATGGTCATTTTATAGCATTTTGACTTTTTCCAACTTTCTATTAAGGAACTTATAAAAGTATTTAAGGGTAAAAATGTCATTTCGATCTACTTACCACAAACTCATAAAAGGGAGCCAAGTGCAATAAACACGTAAGATTAGGGCTGTAAATGAGCCAAGCTTTCGACAAGCAGCTCGAGCTCGGCTAGTTAAGGGCTCTTTTCGTGTTCGTTTGTTTAATAAGCGAACCAAGCCCAAACAGAATTTGTGTGTTCGATTAATAAGTGAACCAATCTCAAACACTCATCTGCTCGGCTCGTTAATGCTCGTGAACAAACTCGCTTATAGGCTCGATTTAAGCTTTTTATAACGCAAATTTACAATTATACACCGTCTAATTAGTATAGACCTTGGTTTTTCAAGCGGTAAGAAACCGCAGCGGCTAATCAATAGGCCCACTATTGCTTTGATTATGGAAACGTTGAACATTTCCATAATCAAACACACAAATTCTTACCGCTTACACAATTATACACCGTCTAATTAATAAGTGAACATTTCCGTATATATATATATATATATATTATAACTTCATAAGTTTGGGCCTTACCTTTTCATTTTAACTTAAAGTTTTAGCCCATCCAAACCCAGCCGAATCCCACACTCTGAAGCCCAATCAATTTGAAACAACCAAAACCCAAGCCCACACTCTGAAGCCCATCAATATAAATCCTTTAACCTCATATTTAACCCACATGTCGTCCCAACCCTAGCTGCAGCAGCAGCGACTTTGACTTCTCTTTCAGTTACGCTTCTCTGGTCTCTCAATCCAATTCATCACTCCCCCAAATGCAGATCCATAGTTTCAGCTTGTTTTATTTCAACAGCTGCTCCTCGTCATCACTTTTACAGGAATGATTTCACACCCACAAGATCAGTGATAAGTCTTCGCACACACATATATATATATATATTAGAGTGTATATATATATATATATATATAATTATAAATATAGATCTCTGTAAGTTTGTACTCTAATATATAAATATATATATATATATATATATATATATATATATATACTCCGTATAAAGTGTCGTTTTAAGTTCTAAACAAGCTTTTCTGGGCAGAAAAATAAAAAATAAAAATAAAAATTTGAATGATCTTCAAGCTCGGCTCGAAGGGCTCGTGAACGGCTTCGAGCCAAGCTCAAACATCCTGTTCTAACGGCCGAGCCAAGCCCAAACAGCCCACTACTCGGCTCGGCTTGGCTCGTTTATACCCCTATGTAAGATCTATCTGCCTGTAACTTCACCAAACCTCAAGGAGGCTGGTGTAATTTACTCTTTTTGTTTTATAAGAAGCATTCTTGTACATGAACTTCAGTTTTGAGTTAAGTGGCATAAGATGGAACATGCAAATCACCATTACATATTTGATATGAAATCAAGTGGCATTAAAATATTCCCCCAAAATAACATAAAAGAGTATCATTTTATACAGAGACAAGTGTGAGGATATTACATTTTGGAGAAATTCACCTGAGCAACTACGTATCCACGAATATCATATCCAGTGACAAAGAAAATATCATCGACTACACCATTTCCAAACCCCAATTGCACCTGCGTGGGGACAAGCAGAATTTAGTTGTACATCGAGATACAAAAATTCACATATGTGAGATGTTGGAGGGAGGGAGGGAGGGAGGGTGGGGGGGTGGGGGGGGTGGTTGTATTCAATAATAGTAAGTAGAAAGCCATTGGAAAAAGGAAAAAGAGAGAAGAAAATGGTAACCTCCGTGGAACCTCTAATTTCAATATCCAAATCAGGACGAGAAGCGTGCAATTTATATTTTCCTACAACCAAGGACGGCGACAGTTAAAATGGCAAACCAGTCAAGGTAATAATAATAGTGGTGATAATAATAATAATAATAATAGTGCTCAAGAGGTTTCATGAGGTGTCTGGTCTTGCAGTGAATAAAGATAAAAGTTCAGTGATTTTTTCAAAGGCTGTTAGAGGCAAGAGAAGAATTTTACAGGTTCTTCAAATGAAAACTGAAGCTTTCCCAATTAAATATCTTGGAATTACTCTGGCAAATAGAGCTTTGAAGTCTGCAGATTGCAAGGGTTTATTTGATAAAGTCAATGCCAGGCTTGATCATTGGAATACAATCAATTTATCTCTGGCAGGTAGGATAGAGCTTATCAGATCATTTCTTTATTCTTTCCTGTATCATTGGGTTTTCGGTTTTAAAATTCCATGGGGTTGTATCATTGCTTTGGAGAAAAAGTTCAAACACTTTTTGTGGAGTGGGAAGTTGGATTCAAGAAAGATGTCTCAACTCAAATGGAGTCAAGTCACCCTTCCTTATGCAGAAGGAGGATTCAATCTTCGAAAAATTACTGATATTGATTTTGCTGCAAAAGTGTCTATCTGCTGGGATTTTCTGAGGAACAAGGAGACCCTGTGGGTGCAGTGGATGCATGCTAGATATTTACAACAAAATAATTTCTGGATGGTTGTCTCAAAGGTTCAAGATTCAAGTATTTGGAAGCAACTTCTGGATATCAGGGATTTCATTCAAGAAAATGTTGTGTACAAAATTGGGAATGGTTCTTCTTTTAACATGTTGTTTGACCCTTGGTGTGCAGGTCTGTTTTTGGTCCAGAGATTTGGAGTTAATTTGTTCAGAAATTTTGATAAACAAGCTAAAGCAGAAACTCTCATTGTTGATGGTGTTTGGCAGTTCCCTCCTTTCTTTCCAGTGGATGCTGTTGGTTTCATTACTAATATAAATTTGAAGGCTGGAGATGATGTTATTGATTGGATTCAAGGTGAATTTAGTTTGAAAAATGCCTGGAAAGCTTGTAGGGCTAGGGGGCAAGTGGTTACGTGGAAGGACCTGTGCTGGAAATATTGCAGACCACGGATTGCTGCTGTGTTTGTTATCATCATGCATAACAAAAATCTTTCATGTGTTAATTTACAGAGAAGGGGTTCTCATGGACCTTCAGTTTGTCATAATTGTTTTCAGGATGAAGATTCCAATACTCATTTGTTTCACACCTGTGTGTATGCTGTTGCAGTTTGGCAACAGGTTGTGCTTTGGTTGAAAATTCCTGATAACAGGTTTTCTGACTTGAGTTTTTTGTGGACTGGATGATACAGATTACAAAAAATAAGGGGATCAAGTCTAAGATTTTAAAGGGGCTGTTTTCAGTTTTTATTTGGAAGATTTCGTTGGAAAGAAACTCAGCTTTACATAGAGGTGTCAAAGCTTCTCCTACTGTTGCTGCAAATGATATTATTTGGGAAGTTTTGAACTTCTTTTCTCTTGGTCTAGCAGACATTCTAGCTATTTTTGATGCTGTTTGATTGGTGTTGGTTTTTATTTTGTTTTGGAAATGAAGTTTTTTCATTTCCTGTTTTATTTGTAAAGAGAGGTATGCCTCTCTATTGTATTTTGTACTCTATCTTTCCATTTTGAAAATATATAAAAAAAATCCCATTCAGGAAAAAAATAATAATAATAAGTTAAAAGGTTACCAGGAAAAATATATATAAATAATTGGATAACCAGATAAATAGAAACAAATGACGTTCAGTGTTCTTTCTATTAGGCCAAGTAATTATTTCCAGACAGAGAAGTCAGCAAATTATATACGAACATGTAGTCCTTCTGTACTGTACAGACCTGGGATAATGTTGGCAAAAGTGTAACTTCCCCCCGATGATGTTAAAACAGTGGAGACCAGATCGCCCATGGAAGACAAAAGCTCAACCTTTATATTTGATGGGCCCCCATTTTTATGTGAACAGCTCTCTCCACCATCAGCTCCTACAACTCTTCCAGATATTGTGAACCTACAAAGTATGAAATTTTAAGAGGCTAATATACAGCAAAACTTGCAGTACACATAGGTTGAGTCATGATGCATATAAGACAAACAAAATTTAGAATACGAATCATTAACAAAAGAGTAATGATAGGGAGTCCGACAGTCAGACAACTCCAGCTAATTTTATGTGAGTATGGGCTGATGTCATCATGATGTCAAAGATATTAATAACATCATGATGACGTCAGCCCCCACTAACATAAATCAGTCAGAGTTGTCCGACTTTTGGACTCCAAATCGTTATCCTTAACAAAAATCTAGAATCACACAAACAGAAGTTAGGAGTGTTACCAATGGGCCAGTGGCCTGGTGGTATCAGAACCTTATTTCCCAAAGGAAGGTCAAGGGTTCAAGTCTCCATGTAGGCATGTGTGTGTGAGTACCAACCATGAAAAAAAAAAAGTTAGAAGTGTTTGAATTTGGACTAACCCTGTGAATCGAAAATTTATATCATCATTGGCATTACAGCCAGTCTGATCAACAACAACAGGGACCTACAAAAAAAAATTATTTTCTGTCAGACTTGGTTGTAAGTTTATTTTAATAATATACGTCTAAACAGGTCACATGTCAAAAAGGAGACAAAAACACTGTACACGAGAATATTCTGAAATTAACAAAAGAGTTACTTAACTTGATCTGGGTCCCTTGTCCATCCTTCCGGCCCCTTGATTTTAATTATAAAAGAACCCTGTAAGCAGAAAAACCTTGTGATGAAAAAATGAACAAAACATATAATTATAAGAGGGTCAGACAAGCACGTTAAATACATTGATGGTTGAACAGCCAATTTTTAAATGGTTTTCAAAAAAAAAAAAAAAAGAACAGCCGATTTTTAATATGGATTGTTTTTCTTTTATTTATTTTTCCTTCAAATTACTGTTAAGCTGTAAGGATCAAAGCATTAGGCCTTAGCCCCACCCTTTCCTTTTAGACTCCAAACCAGCACTTAACATCATGCTACAAGTAGTTGGTTTTAAACAACATAAGTATGAACACGTTGGCAAAAGGACCAGACAAAAATTAGTTTGGTTTGTTTCAACAAGTGCGAGAATAAAGGAAGAAAGTTGTTATAACTGACACGGACCCAAATGAAGTTGATACTATCCAAACCTAACCCATTGCCAGCTCCACTTGGCAATGTATGGAAACCAGACAAAATGATATCTAAAAGGAGGAACCAAAGATGCAATGATGAGCAACAAAATTGACAAATTAATTCACAGCCACAGCATATAAGTACAATGCCTACAATTCGACACGTTAGACAAGAGGGGTACTCTTCATATCACCACTGCTAGAGTGCTAGGATGATTATATAAAGAAGGAAAGCAAGTAAGTTTAACAATAGTCCTCGCAAATTACACTCTCATCGTGCAATCAGGGCCTCACAATCTAATGGTATAAATTTCCATAGAGCAAGAGAATGAATGAGCTCCCACGGCCGATAGCTACATTTGCAAATAATGGCTAGGAGAAGATAAAGATTGCTGACAGCTTCTTAGCAAGTCAAACATCTACACCAAACAAACACGATTTGTGTAAGCATGAAAAGGTACGAAGCAAACTACTCAATTTGACCTCAACGACCTGATTTTTCTCAGTTCCCTGTCTACCAATCCTCGAACTCCTAACCTGATTTATCAAATCCATGGTTCGATGCTGTATATAATAGCAGGTTTGAGATTACCATCTAAGTCCAATTATAAGCATCCAACCTTCTTGCAAGTTGAATTGACTTCACGTAGGTCAAAATGTCAACAATAATTTATGACAAAATATTTACACAGTAATCGAACCCTTCAACAGGTCAAAACCAAAGCCCAAGCTGGATTTGAAATTTCCAACCTGAACCCAACTGATTAAATCATAAAACTGTACCTGCAGGAGTGAGAAAACTGGTCAACTCATATGCCAAGTTTCATCTCTTAAAATCATGTCTCCATTTTGAACATTTAAAAGTTGCTTAAAGTATGCATAAGACGGTAGCATAATCAAGCCAACTCATACTAACCCACCAGCCAAACTAGCTTAAATGCTTCACTAGCAGTCCTAGTCACTTGTTAAGCTTTCTAGACATTTTGTATGCCTCATATAAAATACTAAATGTCAGCAGAAAAGTCATAGACAAATATGATGGTATGTTCAACGGAAGGAATTATAGAATACGTAATTCAATGCAGTATGTGAGATGATATTGTTTTCAAAATACCTTGTCATAAACCGGAATAAAGTAGTAACCATTTGGAGCACACTGAGTTCTTTCCTTCACCAATCCTTCCAATGTGCGAAGTTCAACCTACAGTTTCATAATGACGTATTTCCAATCTTAGATATAGCACATCTATTAAGCAAAAATTTATAATCAACAAAACTTAAGCATAAAGGTCTAAAGCTGATTTGACCAACATAATAACAAAGCATCAAGTCTTTTCCAGTACTTTTGAGGACTTGACACTACAATGTAATAACCACCGAATTAATAACACAAATTAGTGGTTAATTAAGGGGTAAATTCATAAAAGATAATTAAGTATTTAATAAATTAAGAAATAATGGAATTTGTGATGGAATCCTAACCTAAACAGAAGAACTACATGGGTATTGAGACTATGTGTGTGTGTGTGTGTGTGTGTGTGGTTGTCTACAAATGCCTAGCGCTACATTAATCAGTCTACAGTCTTGAAGAGAGAGAACTAGGAAAGAGATCATAAGAAACTGGAAATATTACCATGTAAGTAATATTCTAATTTTCCTACAATAATTGGCATGTTTCTAGTAAATTTAGTTAAATTGGTTAAAGAGCATGAAAGTCATATCACATATGGTTGTATAATTTGTGAATTAATGGATATCTATTTGAACGTGTTCAAACTTCAAAGGGTTGATGAATACACGAATAATACTAATTTTCAATCACAAATATAATGACTTTTTGTGTAAATATAGTACATAAATACGTGCATATATATTGTATATGAATCCCATGAACCCTACTTACCGGAAACAAAAAAAAAATAAAAATAATAATAAAATAAACCTTCATGAACCCTAAGTTTATCTTACATAGACATCATTATTCTTCATTAAACGTGTTGACATAGTTGTTGATTTAGTTGAATAATTTGCTATAAAATGACTTTATTATATTTAATTGTTCTAATTTTTGGTATTGAGTTGCAGATTTGAGGAAATTTTACGTTAGAATGCATGAAACCCTAGAAACTTTTCGGCTTGATAGTAGTGGGATTACGTGGGACGTGCACTTTCGGAGTTCCTTTCAAGATCGGGAGATGGACGAGGTATGTGTTTTTTTGGATCAGTTGTATAGACAGGAAGGAGTTAGCAGAGGTAGTGATGATCTGACATGGATTCCCTATTCCCATGGTCGTTTCGAAGTGCGATCTTTGTTCTTATGTCTATCTAATTTTGATAGCATCGACTTTCCGTGGAAGACCATTTGGCGGTCTATGGCTCCAACTAGGGTGGCATTCTTTGTATGGACTGCTGTTTGGGGTAAGATACTGACTATTGATAATCTGAGGAAAGGGGGGAATTGTTTTGTTAATTGGTGTTGTCTATGTAAGCAAGATGGTGAGTCAGTTCATCATATCCTCATGCATTGCCCTGTGGCGCACAACTGTTGGAATCTTATTCTTGGGTTGTTTGGCATGTGTTGGGTAATGCCACGTTCTTCTAAGGATTTGATTCATGCTTGGAGAGGATGTCGCGTGAGAAGAGGCGTATGCGATTATTGGAGAATTGTACCACATTGCATTTGGTGGTGCATTTGGAAGGAGAGAAATAGCAGAATGTTTGAAGGGAATGAGTCGTCTATGGCGACACTGAAACTATATATTATCCGCTCTCTTTTCAATTATGTGAAGAGGAGTTCTTGCTCCTCCTCTGATGATTTAATTATTTTTTTGGATTATGTGAAACCTTACACCCCAATTCCATTTTTGTTTAAGGGACGCGTTCCCTTTTTGAACGCCTTTTTATATATTTTTTACTTATCAAAAAAAAAAATATGTAAAATGGTCAAATTAGGTCACTAAGTCGAGTGATTTTTATCTCTATGTAGTATTTGATGTATGTGGAACTAAAGTCCCATTGTTTGAAGAGATTTGAAACGTGTTTAAAGGATGGATTTTGAGGATGAATAGGCTGGTTCTTGAGTGTGAGTTTCAGGTAGAGTTTATGAGCAAAAAAAATTAGAGGAGGAGGGGTATGGGCTTTGCACATGCCAACTCGAGGGGAAAGTGAGTGGAGGAGAGTGTGACTCCCCCCAAGTGAGTTTTGAGTCCATGTTTGGACCATTTAAGTCTACTCTCTGAGCCCAATTTTATGGGCCCGCAACCAGGTCCTTTAAGAAAAAATGTATTAGAAAGCGTTCAAACGGGGAACGCGTCCCAAGAGCTGAACAATAACCAAAAAAAAGAGAAAGGGGGAGTCCTATGGACCCAAAGAACCCAAAAAGTCCACAATTTCATCTAAAGATATACAATTTCTCCCCATAACCCAGCAAAAAAGAGAACAAATGATAAAAAAAACTTCCAATGGAGAATTCCTCTCCATCAAAAGATCTTCTATTCCGCTCTTTCCAAAGGCTCCACCAAACACAAAGTGGGTTCACCCTCCAATAATCGCAAGCATGAGCCCCCACCCTTTGGCCCCTCCAAATGTCAATCAAATCCCTTGAGGTCCGGGGCATAACCCATTGGACGCCAAAAAGACCCAAAATAAGACTCCAACAGTCATGAGCCACGGGACAATGCAAAAGAAGGTGATCCACAGACTCTCCATCATTCTTACGGAATTTTAAAATATTGTGATTATGTGTTGATTAATTAGGTTTTGATCATTTATGGGCAGTTAGGTAAAATTAATGCTTTTTAGGTCTAGTAATCTCCCTAGTTTGTACATATTAGTTATAAATTGCAGTTAGGATGTGTTTTAGGACACATAATGTGGTGTTTGAATGGAATGTGTTGTGATTGATGTTGATAATGGTATGGATAGTTGTAAGTGAAGGAGATATTGGGAGTTTGGTCGAACTACACGCAAGACTAGATGAGATATTGTAGAATTCTGTGTGAGACACTAATCATGTTAAAACTGATGTTGATAATGGTATGGATAGTGGCAAGTGATGGAGATATTGGGAGTTTGGTCGAACTGCATGCAGGACTAGATGAGATATTGTAGAATTCTGTGTAAGACACTGATCATGTTATGATTTATGGTGCACACCTTTCACTGAGTTTTTTTTTTTTTTGATAAGTAAAAATATATTAGAAAAACGTTCAAAAGGGGAACGCATCCCTAATACAAGAGAAAAGATCTAAGGACCAATAGAATCCAAGAGATCAAAGAAATCATCAATCGAGGAGCATATACTTCCTCTAACATAAAAAAATAAAGAACGAAGAATATGAATTTTTAAATTAGCTAAGGACGATTCTTTTCCTTCAAAGGATCTGTTATTTCTCTCACGCCACAAACACCACCAAACACAATGAGGAACAATCTTCCAATAAGCACGAGCTTGTTTCTTAACAGGACAGCTTTTCCAAGCGTTAATCAACTGAGAGGAGTGCTTAGGCATTACCCAAAAAATGCCGAAAATGCTGAAAATAAAACTCCAACAACCAAACGCCACAGGACAATGCAAAAGAATATGATCCACGGATTCACTATCATCTTTGCATAAACAACACCAATTAACAATGATGTTGCCTCTCTTTCTCAAATTGTCCAAAGTCAAAATCTTCCCCAATGTAGCTGTCCAAGCGAAGAACGCGATTCGAAGAGGGGCTTTAGAGCACCACACGGACTTCCAAGGAAACTCGGAACCAACGAAATTGGATAAATGAATAAACATAGAGCGGACATCATACCGACCATGAGCCAAAGGAACCCACAAAATATCATCACACCCTCTGCCAATATCCTTCTGCCTATACAAAATATCCAAAAAAGCAGAAACTTCCTCCATTTCCCAATCCTGAAAAGACCGCCTAAACCGCACATCCCACGTAACTCCATTGTTATCAAGATGATAACAATCAATCACGAAAACATGCTTATTAGTTGCAATGCTATAAAGCCTAGGAAATGAGTCTGAAAGCAACTGGTCGCCACACCAAAGATCCTCCCAAAAACGAACATGCCTGCCATTACGAACTTTGAATCTAATAAGAGTAGAGAAAACATCCCATCCCTTCCGAATAAATTTCCACAAACCAACGCCTCCCGTAATAGTGACTGGAAGAGATGACCAACCCCCACTCCCCTCACCAAAACGACACGAGACAACTCTTCTCCACTGACGATGTCGTTCCCTTCCAAATCGCCATAACCACTTTCCTAAGAGAGCACGATTAAAAGGAACAATTTTTCGAATGCCTAACCCTCCGAATCTCAATGGTTGGCAAACTTGATCCCAATTAACAAGATGATACTTAAACTCCTCTCCCCTTCCACCCCACAGAAAATCCCTCTGAATTTTTTCAATTCTATCAGCAACAGAACATGGAATTTGAAACAAAGATAAAAAAATAGGTAGGAAGGGATGAAAGAGTACTCTTTATAAGTGTGACTTTCCCACCCTTAGATAGATACTGCTTTTTCCATCCTGCTAATCTTTTCTCATATCTATTAATCACTGAGTCCTAATTCCCAACCAGAGTAGAAGAAACTCCCAAAGGCAATCCTAAATAAGGAAGAGGAAAAGAACCAACTCCGCACCCTAAAACAGCAGCTAAGGAGGAAATATCTGCAACATCCCCCACTGGAACAAGCACACTCTTTCCGACATTAATCTTAAGCCCAGAAACTACTTGGAAGCAAGCAAGAGTGCACCTCAGATATCTGAGTTGAGAAATATCAGCATCACAAAATACCAAAGTATCATCAGCAAATAAAAGATGGGAAATCTGGATCTGATGATCAACATCTCTGCCAACTCTGAACCCCCTAATGTAACCCAAATCTTCCGCTTTTCTCATTAATCTAGTCAGACCTTCCATAACGATGAGAAAAAGAAAAGAAGATAATGGATCACCTTGTCGCAGACCACGTGAGCTAGCAAAAAAACCCGCAGGAGAGCCATTCACAAGAACAGAAAACATAACTGATGAGATACAAGTGTCAATCCATTTTATCCATCTATCACCAAATCCCATCCTCCGAAGAAGATACAAAACAAACTTCCAATTAACATGATCATAAGCTTTCTCGATATCAAGCTTACACAAAACGCCAGGAACCCCGCTTCTTAATCTAGAGTCAACACAT